CAAATGCTCATCTGCAACACACAAGTACACCGCACGCCCGCCCTGTGCACAAACAACATGAACTCTCGATCTTATTCACCTGTACCGGTACTTTGTGTGGTGTAGTGGTGTACCGGCTTTTTTAGCTATTTTTATCACATCAAATTTGCGGTACCCAACTCTAGGTATTAAACTAAAAGTACAAATAACTTACCCAGGCCCCTCCCTACGTTGCGCAAACCGGGCGCGCTCGCCCCGTTTCAATCGTTGCGCCACGTTTAAATTACCTCTGCCCCGATTAAATTCCACCACAATAAAATTTTGACAGTGCAGGAATCGAGGTTGGCATATGTTTCCATGAACCAGAGTATCCGCGTGACGTACGAACTCGGCTATCTCCGAAGTTGAATGCATACAGCCCGCTGATGGTGGTTGCGCATGGTCATATTCCATTCTACGCATATCAACTTCCGCATCAGACTTTTCGTATATCAAGGAATGATGCAAAAACCCTAACCCTAACACTAACAATAAACTGACTCGGTTATCTTATATACGGGTGTTATAGTACCAAACACTATCTATGATGGTAGATAGCCACTGACGTCACACTTACGTTCACTGACGTCACGCGGATACTCTGTTTCATGAAAACATGCCCACCGGGAAGTAGGTCCCCCCCCCCTGTTTCAATTTCATCCTGGGGAAAACCATTTTACCGTACGAAATTTTCGAGCTGATGACTGTGATGTTCTTTTTGTCAACAGACCATTAAGAATTGTAACAGAGAAGAAGACTTTGCGATTGGCGCTGCACTACTGCAGAGAACAGGGAGAGGAAAACTATGACTGCATTCTCGTGGCCGCACCGATGATAGATTCTGGTATGATGTAAACTTGTTTAGGGTGAGAGTGACCTGGGCCACGTATCGGTACATGGCTATAGCATTGCATGGTATTGGCTAGATGGTATATAGTTGTTCCATAGTTGGTGTTCTCTGTATACGTTAGACATTCTTAAGATTTTGGTATTGAATCGAGGAGGTAATATTGACATCTGAGCATGTGTAGCCATTTTGTATGCACGTGTTACTGAATGGTATTCTACCTGTTTGGTTGGAGTTATTTAGTGCACAACACTTCTGGATATTATTGTGTTCTGGGTGTGCATTCACACCCATTCTCATCCTGCGACTTTGATTTTAATTTAGCAAGACATTTTGCGATTTTGAGCAAACCAAGGTAGAAACTAAGGAAGATGATAATTGAGGGCGATTTAATTAAGTGGTGCCACCTATAATGAGGCATACATGTTTCTACAGATGGCGAAGGCCTTACCCTCCATGTTGATCAGTTTGATCCTGGGCGAAGAGTACCTGGCAACAAGGGTGTGTTACCAACTACAACAACATCTGATGATGTGTACATTCCCACTATAGTAAGTACTACAAGTCCACTGTGGTTTTCTTTGATGCACCAACTCGGATATACGGTAGCAATAAGCTATCTATCTAGTAAACGGTCAATATCCAATAGCAAATAGATAGCTTGATGCTACAAAAATGTATTGAGTGTTCATTTTAATTTCTTATTATTTTTAGGTTGCGCAGAGTAACCTGACGGTTATTCCAAGCGCACTTCAACAGCATCATATAGTGACACAGGTATGTGTCTATAGTATGTCTTTGAACCTGACATCTATTTTTACTGGTTAAACGCATGTCACATAGCTAGATGAAAAGATTCCGTACTAAGTTAAAAGCACCATTACATCATTGACATTTGATAGCAACACCTCCACACAACATGCGAACACTTTAGAAGTACATCATATTCATGAAGTGCATTACGGGTTTTATTTTATTTTTTATAGTGCTTAGAAAGCAATTGTAGAAGTTCTTCAAAGCTGGAGTTATCCAAATTTCTTTTGGTGACTGCAAGATTGACACAAGAAAGCGCATCTGATTCTACCCTGACATTCGACACGAATCTAGTAACCATGGCGACAACTTTTAGAGCTACACCTATCAAGCCGATCCCGATAATGCCAACAGCATTGTCGAATAATCTATCGAATCCGATGAGTTTCAGTGAAGTACAAGAAGAACCTAAAACTGGGTAATGTAAAAAGGTGGTTTTTTTGTGTTTTTATGTGGAAAGTTGAAGCAGAATCTTTTAAAATCTTGAGTGGTCAATTTGACCGTAATTCTCCCAAGGCAGTATAAATATTGGTAATGGGAGGCATCGGTTTTTCTTGCTTCTTTTGTATGGCATATATATATATACAGGGGTAGAAATTAACTTTTGAACAAGGGAGTCCAATGGACTCCCTACCCTCAAAAAGAGGGTGTCCGCAGCAAAATGAGGGAGTCCGCAGTCTGAGATTCAAAATTAAAGATATTAACAATAACGCATGTGCTTATTTTTAAGATTCATGCAGTTGCACGTCTGCCAAATTTTCTTTGGACATTAGCTGAACAAATACAGTAATTCCGCGAGGCCGTGCTCCGGAACGAACTAGTTAGTATGGTAGAATTTTCAGGGCGTCACACGGACCCCTGCATATGTCCAATCAGGGAGTCCGACAGTAAATCAGGGAGTGTTTGACTCTGGACTCCCGTTAATTTCGCACTCTGTATATATATATATATATATAACTAG